AATGATTTATTAAAAAAAAAATCGCTTACCTTTTTGTCATCTTTACAATCAGAGTGATGTATTTGTATAACTTGAAAACTTTCCGCTAGCTCGCATATTTTTTTTTATAAATCATACATATATATACGTATACATATGTAGACAAAACACATTATCGAACGTGCGTACAATAGGCGTAATTACTACATATATATCACGATTTGATTGACAGCCATTTGAAGGCTGAGCATGCACGGACAACGCTAATATTACGTTTCGGTCCTCGCATCGAGGAAGCGCTTTCGTACTGATGTTTTATGGAAAACGCGTCCGAAGCGACGGATACGAATTCATCGCGAAATCAAGACGGAGGAAGAAGTCATGCGCTATACGAGAATTCTCGAACAATTCATCACTTCCTTATTTTTTTCCCATGTGTAAATAATCATATATCACATACGATCTCAATTAAGCATTGAGTTATTAAAGATAATAACCATGAATATAATAAATAATTGAATAGCTAAAAAAGTCGAAGGCTAACTTGCAACATTTATGATCAAAGTCTTGAATTTTTTAAATCAAAACTATAAACTACTTTTCCTACATATTTCTAAAAATTTCAAAGAAAAGGTTTTTAAAAAATTGACATTTAATACTTCATTATTTTGTAAAAATACATGTAAATAAATATACAAACACAGATGCAAAAATATTATTTCATTGAGACAAAAAAAGGAGACACTGTCATAAGCTGAAAAATTACACTCTGCCTAAAGAAGTCAGAAATTCGCAAACGAAAGGACTGTCACTCGATTCATATCGACACAATGGAAGATCGTATGGAATCGGAAATACTGGGACGGCTGGATCTTCTTCGTCTTCAATAGGAAATGTTGTTGTCCCAGTCTGAATACAAACAATGTTCAGACGTAATAATTAATATTAATTAATTAAAACATGCATCTTTAGTACATTTCTATAATACATATTCATAACATTTAACATATCATAAACTATTAAGTAATATGATGCTTACGATAAGTTTTGGTAAGAATATAACGCCAGCTTCGTAACTCATTATGTAATGATTATTTCGTTGGACTCCCCATGCAGCTTTACTTAAATTTGCACTGGTAAGTACAAACCAGGCAATGCTTTTCAAATCGGGTGAAATCCTTGTGTAGGATTTAATATGAGGCATCGCACGATCTCGTCCTGTTCGCTTGGCTTTCCATTGGCTATAGAAATAAATATCAAATTCTGTAGGAAAAAAAGGACTGCTTCTAAGAAATAAAGATAAATAAAGTAATAATAAAACGACTGTAACTTACTATAAGTAGGATTCTATCCACTGTTGTTTAGAATGCACTTTTGCACTATAGGGCAAACAACAAGATAAATTTCGACAATCAAAGCTCTGCTTATAATTCTCTATTGAAGGATAAATAAACTGGAAGTGCGGATGACTCTTTAAACCTTTTGTAGTCTCCCTCGACATACACGGAATTATATCTTTTGACAACCAACTTTCGAAGTTTGGACCAAGGCTGCCTATGCTGGAACTCTGTGCAACTATAGGCCACTGAGGAGCATCTGGTGGCAACGTGGCATAACGCGATAGAACGTGCGCCAATTTCTTATACCCCCAAGAATCGGCTTCGTTATCTTTGTGAGTCCCAGGAACAGAAGCAACAAGGAACACGTTCACATCCGAAAAATCAGCCCTCCGTACCGCACAAATCCATTGCGTCAATGCCGGATGTCTATATTTATTCAAATATCGCTCGAGATCCTTTTTAAACCCTGTTGGAGATTCCCCATCACTGGGATTTGCAGATTCTGGTAGCCGGGGCAAATGAGGTGAGATCCACAATCTAATTAAGATACAATAAAAAGATTATTATAGACAAACATTACATTAATAATAAAGAATATCTAAGAATATTTAATAGACCCTTGTGTCCTATTTTCCCAGTCGTCGGAATATAAGTTAGCAGTGGAAACAACCACCCTGATCCCATCATCTTTATATTGCAGGATCATGATCTTCGTATGATGGCAACCAAACTTGGTCGGCATGTCTACTTCTATCATGGTAATGTTGTTGTTCAATTTCTCTCGATCTACTCTATCACCATACAGAATCATCATATCAGTACATTGACCAGCCAATAAATACTGCAAGCACAACCATCCAACGTCTACCATAAAATTTAAATGAAGACTATTAACAATTTCTCCAAGACTACGATCGAGAATCTCAGGGAATGTTATGGAAAACTGTTGACTATAAGTCTCCTTTGAATTTTCGATTCTCGTGAAGAATAAGTGATAAGGTGCTGAAAAAGCATATTTTATTGCAAACTCTCCTGGTTCTACGACAGACACTGTATATCCAGATTGTCTCATCATCTGAATAGCTTTCTTCCTAACTTCCTTCCTTGACTTTTCAGAATCACAGGATTGATACATATCCATGATAGATGTTCCTGAACTTGTACTTTGCTCATTGCTTCTAGAACTGCTTTGAGAGTCATTAATATACTGCTGACTATCCTTAGCGCAATTGCTGCCTTCTATGCTCATCTGTTTCATCTTCTTTGTAACAGAAGAGCCAACTTCTGATACCTCCAAACTTCTCTTTTTTACCTAAATAAGCTTATATTCACTTGTTTATTTTCCATAATGTAAAATTTACAAAATTATTCTGAATTTCACTAACCTTGATGGTTTCTGTACGATTCTCATGTTCTTCTCCGATCAAAGCTCTAGAGAGTGCCTGAGCTTCTGCATCCATCTGCTTAAGTTTATCTTGTCTCCTCTGCACTATAGCTTTCTTATGTCTTTCTACTTTATCCTTCAAATCTTCTTTACTACTCGATACATTAGTAGTAGAAGAAGATTGTGCTTTAAAAGATGAATTATCAAATCCAGATAATTGGTTGTCCTTATTTTTGTTTCTCTCCCTTCTAAGTACTATTTGCAATACTTTCAATTGATCCAACAATTGTGAACGATCATTACATGCAAAATGAAGCACTTCTGGTATTTCTATCGTGCCATCCAGCTGATCTACTAATAATTTTTCCACTGAAATTAAAGGGCTAATTAATATTCGATAATAATATGTGTAATAATTACGTATAAAATTAATATAAAAAAAATATACAAATAGTTACAATGAGGATGTGACATTTCACCGAAGTGAATCGGATTTTTTCGGTAACATTTCTCCATAAAAGGGCAAAGTTTCTTTTCTGCAAGTCAAATAAATGACAAATAAACAAATAAAGAAAATACTTAAAAATCCAGAGAATTGACAGGTAACGTTTATAAATTCAATATCATCACCTATAGAATTCATTGTTACAATAGAGATTAAACGAAGGAATTTACACAGGAAACGTCTATGCTCGACGTTAATCACGAATGATTGATTAACTCTAAATTTCTTTATATCTGTCAAATAATACTATGTAAACGTAATCATATGGAATTCCACATATTTGACAAGAAAGCAATAAATGATTCCGCAAAACATTACTCGTCCTAGAACTCTACAAACGTACAGGAGAAACGAACTGAAGCAATACGCCATCTATAACTGCTTTGGAACTGGAACTTCGTAGCCAGATTTTAATACTGCAGATAAATTATGTTATCTATAATTTATGGGCCTTTATGGAATAAAACGGAATAAATTCCGATCAAAATATATT